CTAATGCCCTATATACATTAACTCCTCCAATTCCAAAGATCCAAAGAGAATACTGCTCTTAATTTCCTGCTAGAGAGCAAGAGGTTAACTAATTTAACCAAATCAGCTACAACTCCAGCTCCATGCCTGCCTACCTGCTGCCATGACTCCTACCATGATGGTCATGGACTCTGATCCTCTCAAACAATAAGCCCCAAATAAACCCTTTTTTCTATAAGTTATCTTTGTCATGTGTCTTATTATAGCAACAGCAAAGGAACTAAGACAAGAGCCAAGCCCACAAAATGTCTACTGACCTTCGCAGGCACATAGCTGCACACATGAATACCTGGGGATGTACACACATACACAAATAAATGAATATAATACAATTATTTTAAAATAAAAATTTAAAGCAACAAGAAAGTAAGTTAACTCCAAAGGAAACAAAATGCTGAAAATAAGACTGGCAATAAATTATATAATCATGTTACCTGGCTCAGCAAGTAATATTATTTATATATAGAAACAACTAAAGATTATAATCATAACTCTTCAGTAAGTCAACAGCTTTCAAAAATTAAAATTAGGAAATAATGATTTTATACTTTCAGGAAAATACAAGAGCTTAGTAAGCACTGCCAAGTAAACCCAAGGCCCTGCACTCCATCCCAGAGACTACACTGGAAAAGTTAGGGATGCGGCCACTTAAATGGAAAGGTGAGGTGGGTCCTGGGGATGCTGGACAGCCAGTCGAGCCTAACAGGGAAGCTCCAGGTCAAGGAGACCAATAAGGTGGAATGACATCCCAGGCTGACTTCTGGCCTCCACTCATAGTGCATGCACCCACACAGCTGAAAATAGATGGGGCAGGGTGTGGCAAGGAAATGCTATTTTAAAGTAAGTCTTCCAATACATTTGACTTTTAATACTATAATGTGAGCTGTAGAAACTAAGTTGAAAGAAAAATAAATATTCATACTAAAATAAAATATGCAGAAAAACACAAATGAACTATAAAATTACAAATCTCAAACAACCAGAGAGAGAAGATATGTCTAATTTTTAAATCATTCTGCACTTGGTATACATATTATAAAAAAATTAAGCTCTTCTAAACCACAGAAGCTACTTTGTAATTGAATTGTATGTTCTGTCAAACATTAAGGACAATATTGCTAACCCCGAATTTGAGACAAGGTCTCTTACTGGGACTAGGGTAGACTGACTGGCCAGCCAGTGAGTCCCCAAGATTCCCATCCCTACCCCCCACTGCTGTTATTACTGGAGAACTGTACCAATACAGCTTTTTTATGTCAGCGCCAGGGATAGAACTTGAGTTCTCATGCTTGCAAAGCAAGCACTTTATCAGCTGAGCTATCTCCCCGAGTATCATTATTTTATGTTTTCTTCAATAATTACACATGTATCATGAGGGACAAAAAAACCTAGACCAATTTTTAATGTCATTTTCAGTAATATCCTTTCGGTACAGGGCTAGTCATACAGAACACACACAAATTTTGTGTTTTTGTTATGGGCCAGGTGCATGTATGACTGGTATGCCTGCACTGGAGGTCATAGGTCAACCTCAATAATGTTCTTCAAGGGCTGTCCACTTTGTTTTTGAGACAAGGTCTCTCACTGTGACCTAGAAAACACTGATAAGGTTAGGCTGGCTGGCCAGGAAGCCCCAGGGATCCTCCTGTCTCCAACACTGGGATTTTAAGCATCCATCATCATGCCTTTTTACATGGGTTCTGGGGACTGAACTCAGATCCTAAAGTTGGCATGGCAGGCCTTTTATGGACTAAGCTATCTCCTCAGTATTCCCTTTCTTTGTTAAGACAGTCTCACTCTGTAGCCCAAGCTGTTCTTAAACTCACAGTAATCCTTTTGCCTCAGCTTCCCAAATGCTAAAAATGCAGGCATGAGCCATTACAGTCGAATTTGACAAATCATTTACCATACCAGAGTCTGATGCCAGAATTCATATTTTAAAAACTCAGGTATGGTGGCATATGCTCGTAATAGCAATACTAGGGAAGCAGAGGTGGGAGGGTTATAGCGGCTTGATGACTGGTCTAGGCTACTTGACAAGTTCTAAGACAGTGAGTAAACCTGACTTCCCAAAACACAAAGGACAACATCTGAGGACAACACCCAGGACTGTCCTTTCAATGCGTGCACGTGAGCATGCACATTCACACACAGACAAAGAAATTTGCTTGCATCTCCAACAAGCATTCTTTTACCTAAAAAAAAGAAGTATATTTTCACAGTATATTATTAAAAGTCAGGTTATAATAGAAAGTAAACAGCTGCACTTTCTTGGCAACAGGATTAGCCTCACTGTTTTTGTAATGCTCTCCAGAATTTTGTTTAGAAAATTAGAAACTATTTTTGAAGTTGGAAAAAGCTTTATACTCTTTTTTAATTAATTTATTTATTATGTATACAGTGTTCTATCTGCATGGCAGAAGAGGGAACCTGATCGAATTACAGATGTGGTTGCTGGGAATTGAACTCAGGATCTCTGGAAGAGCAACCCGTGCTCTTAACCTCTGAGTCATCTCTCCAGCCCCAAGCTTTATACTCTTAATAAAGGTATATAAGAGTATGATGAAGCTTTATACTCTTAATCAAAGGATTAAAAATGCAGTTCACTTGGTAAAGTGCTTGCCTAGCACATCCACAGCACAACAGAAATCAGTATAGTATATCTCTAGCACTTGGAAGGTGGAGGCAGGATGTTGAGAACTATGAAGTCATCCTTGGCTCTACTTGTAATTATGAGGCCAGCCTGGGATACATGAGACCCTGGACAGAGTGAGAGAGAAAAAGAGGTACAGAGGTGAAATAAATCAAGGGCCACTGATAATGGCTCACACTAGTGAAGTGGCTGAGGCAGAAGAGTGCCTTAAAGTTGATGCCAGTCGCCGGGCGGTGGTGGCGCACATCTTTAATCCCAGTACTCGGGAAGTAGAGGCAGGTGGATCTCTGTGAGTTCGAGCCTGGTCTACAAGAGCTAGCTCCAGGACAGGCTCCAAAGCTACAGTAAAACCCTGTCTCGAAAAATCAAAATAAATAAATAAATAAATAAGTTGATGCCAGTCTGTATCAGCAATATCACATCCAAGAGAGAGAGAGAGAGAAGAAAAAGGAAGGAAGGAGGGAAGGGAGAGGAAAAAGAAATGGGAAGGGAGTGAGGGAGGAGGAGGAAGAGAGAAGAGGAAGGGAAAAAGGAAGAGAGCCCTTGTTAGGTGCTAGGCACTCTTCCAGGCACTAAGGATTTAATACAACAGATGGCATCCTGATCTTCTTTGGCACAGAAGACAAATATTAAAGAGTTGTACAAAAATGCACTTCTATGCCTGCGTCAGGACAGATCTTTGAGGAAGACACTGAGCAGACTTGAATGAAGAGGCAGTGGTGAGAGCAGTCTAGGGAGAAGGCTTACTGAATGAAAAGGCCTGAGGCGGTATGGGCGCGAGACGTGCGAGACCAGGGAGAAGAGCAATGTGGTCAGTGAAACAAGCACAGAGAAGAGACAGAAGGTAAGGATGCCACAGAGGCAGGTGGGAGCCAGACCATGGATGCTTGTAAGGATTGTGAATTTATTCTAAAGGCAATACAGAAGCATTAATTTTCCTGTTGTGTGGACAACAAATTACTTGAGGGAGTATAGGGAAGCAAGTAGAAAAAACTGAGATCAGTATGCAGACCAAAAGATGATGGCCTACACAATCAGTGGGTAAGAGAGTGAGAGATGGAGTCTAATGTGGATGAGTTTTCACAGCTGATCTAAAGTAACTTGTTGGTAGACTAGGTATAAGGAAGAACTCACAGAAAATTCATAGGTGAATGCTGGTGTCACTTACTAACCTGGGGCTGACCAGGGAAGAAACTTTTGGGCAGCAGAAATCAAGAGACCTATTTTGGACAAACCTAATGTTGGATAACCATTAAATAGTCTAGTCAAATGTAAGACCAGATCCCTCAGTGCTGTCTTGGAGCCAGTGGGAAGTATAAACATAATAGTTAAATGTTATGGGACTACATGTCATTTCCTATGGTGTGAACCAGAAGGAAAAGCAGCAGGTGAAGATTCCATCTGGAAATAAGGATGAGGAAGGGGAAAGATCAGTGAGATGTCCCAGAAGTCAAGGAGTATTGTTTCCTGTAGGAGACAGTGACCCCATGAATCAAAGCTACTAAGAACACTTGACTATGTTCAAAAGAGTTGGAAGACACAAGGCAAAGACAACTCTTCACAGGAGTCTTACTTTAGGGATGAAAAGTTGCTCATGGTCTCCTAGCATCTTGCTACCTCTTGGCACAGAGTCAGTATTTAACAAGTTTCTCTATAAATGCAAAACCTGCATATTCCTAGTACTTCAAATCAAGTAAGAAATCCAAACAAAAGCCAGGTGTAGAGGCATACACCCTTAATCTGAGCCACAAGAGGCAGAGATGGGTGTTATCTCAGAATTAGAGGTCTATAGAGCAAGTTCCAGGCCAGCTAGGACATGAGACCCTGCCTCAAAACAAAAGCAAACAAACAAACAAACAAACAAACAAACAGAGAACTTTAAAGCCCCCAGCCTTCATGAGTGCAGATGACCTTAATGAACATGAACTTTCTCTTCTTCTTTAACTTGCTGCCTATTTAGATTCCTTTTCTTTCTCCCTAATCTAGGGATTGGTACCTGGCAGCTAAGTGCTCTCCCATCCAGCTCTACTTTAAGAAACGACTGAACAAAAAGAAAGGACTTCCTTATATATTTATCAATTTCCTAGAATTACAGATGTAGCAGAAGTTAGCAGCGAATTTATGAACCTGCCACCTAAGAGGTCTAGTCATATAAACAAACATCCTACTTCAAGTGGGATTAAGACAGCCACTTACTTCCCAGAACAGATAATTTGCCCACCCGCAACGCAGTTCTTTCCCTTATGGAACATTCAGCAATGTAAACTTATGGAGAAAACCCAACACCTACACAAGTAAATTTTCCTACCTGACATAGTATCTTCTGCTAATTCCTTTTCTCTTTCAATTTTTTCCTCTAGAGTTGAAATGCAGAATTCATAGCCAGCAAGGGCGAATTCCTGTCTAGAAAGAAGTATCAACAATCAATCAGCTGTGCTCACATTTTCTCAAACTCTTTACAGCTCTGGTCTAAGCATTATCAATACTGGGAAGTTTCTATCTCTGGGTTGTCAATCTATATTTCTCCAAAGTTTATTGCTTTGAAATCATTTATTTAAGTTAATTAAGGGATGCTGTCAACATTTTCATGCTGTGTAGCATTATCTTTCATTATCTCCCACCATAGTTTCCAGTCTGTCTCTCCACGCAGCAGAGCCCCACCCTGAGGTTCCCAACTGTTGCCATTATACACTTCTGGGAAACTCTGGGGCTGAACATTTCTCTTAAGCTGTGTTTTGACTTAAGCTTTTATTATTATTATTATTCTATGGAAATCAAAATACTAGCTATAACACAGGAAGGCTTGACATATAGTCCTGGGCCCTGAAGCATCGAGCCTGACACTGGATAGCTTCTACAGAGTTGCAAAGGAACAGGAAGAAATTCCTTCTTCAACTCTGGTTCTTGCTCTTCCATATTGGTTCTATTTTCTTACCACAACTGACATTGTAAAGTTCAATCTTTATCCTCTAGTGCTCAGCTAGGAGGGATCTGATGAGCCAGTGCTTTGCTTTATTCTCAGGATAAAACTCCCTCTCCAGTCCCAAACCTTGGCTGAATAAAGCCTCCCAGCCCCAAGGCAAGAGAGGACACCACAAAATGCTGTCTGAGTAAAAGGTCTACAGACAACTCCCTATCTCAGCCTTTTTCCTGCAGTACCCAGGGCCTCACGCATGCTAGGCAAGCACTCTGACACTGACCTATATTTACCCCAACACTCAGTTTCTATAAGCCCCACAGCCTGGCAATGTGTTTTCTTATCTCACGCTTTGCTTAATAAAACAACATGAAAAAAGTAAACTAACTTAAGTACTAATTGCTAATAGACAGTTAAAAGCTTTCAGTTCTGCGAGACTTACAAATCTTATTTTTCAGCATTCAGCATTATTTGCATTGAGCTTCTACTTGTCAGAGGAATTGCGATAGCATTAACATCTAGTCCTGCAGAATGCCACACCTGTAATGTTTTCTGGCACCAGCCAAACTTGAAGCTCAAGATCTAAGTCAAGAGCTATTCTATGTTTTCTGTCTAAAATCCAGGCTAGCCATACGCTAGAGAACAAGCCTATATCTCAAAGCCCAGAAAGACTTGAAGTCAAAGTCCCACAGAAGTTCCAGCCTATCTAGTGCCCAATCAACATGCAGAGAAACTAGCAGGCTAATGAAAATGGAGCAGTTGACTAGAAGAGAAGCCAGGGTTGGGACCTCTACCTCAAAGAACAACTTTTTTGAACTGCATCAAGCTTGATGTGACATCAAATCTCTGCAGCAGCTAAAACCTAAAGCACACCAACCTTACTTCTCTCCTAAACTCATGCCCTAAATACAACTGTCTAGATATGTTCCTGATTTACATACCATGTGCTCCCCCTTTGAATTCTACCTAGAGACAAAGGGAAGAAAAGTTGTGCCAGGTAATGTTTTGCCATCTAGAACCCAGAGAAAAGCAACTAAGATGAAGAACAGCTGAAACAATGCCCTGATTCTGGCTTCGAAGGCAAACACTGGGGCATTCTTTTGTCTGCTCATTGATAGGGGTGGTGCCTACACCACCAGGTGATTACAAGGTCTATAAGAAAGCAGCCAGCAAGCAGTGTTCCTCCATGGCTTCTGCTTCAGTTCCTGTCTCCAGGTTTCTGCTTTGCATCCTGCTGTGACTTCCCCCAGTGATACTGTGTGATGTAACAGCTGTTAAACAGACCCTTTTCTCCCCAGGTTACTTTTGTTCATGGTGTTTCACTACAACAAAAGACTCTGACTAACGCAGAAATTGGTACCAGGACCATGGAGTATGGCTGACAGACCTGACCACGCTGTTTTGGGGACAACTGCGGAAGGACACTGACACTTGAAGCTGGGAAAGCCACTCAATGCTCAGAATTTAACAGGCTGCTGTGGGAGCTTGGGAGATGAGGATGTTGTAGAGGTGCAGATGAATGACGCCTGACTTGTGACGTTTGCAGGGGAAACAAGGACTGTCAGGGCCGTGTGTGCGCTATTTTGTAATGAGACTCTGTGGTTTCTCATCAGCTGGAGCTGAAGAATTCGCTGTGACTCACAGGAGACCAGCGCCATTGGCATAAAGTGAAGCCTTTGCTTTGATAGAACAAAGGCTGCTTAGCCAAAGCTGAGAATTAGGGGTGATTTTACCACCAGCATCACTGAGGTGAAATATTCTGAAACTGTTTCCTGAGGGTTAACACACAGAAGCTGTGGTTCAGAGGGAGCCAAAGTTGATCTCATATTGACAGTAAAACTTGGTAAGAGTCACCCAGGTAGTACTGGTTTTGAAGGCATGCAACGGTCATGGGAAGAGCTGAGGCTTTGGCCCTGCATGGCATGGGGGGAGTCCCTGTACATGATGGAAGGGCAGTCTCGGGTGCATTGGAGACTAGAACCATAGGACAATTGCCAAGGACAGGAGGAGCTGGGCAGTGGAGCTGACCCAAGTTTATAAGTTATGTATGCAGGGGAGGAAGAGCTAGGGCTGCTAAGCCCATTGGAGACCAGAAGATCTTGAGTCTCAGACACAACAGCTATTTATACTTCTGAGAACTGGGTTTTGCTTTGATTTGATCATAACCATGCCCTGGTTCTTCCCTCTTAGAATAGAAACTATGAAAATTACTTTGGTTTTACAGAAAACCACAGTTGGATATTTTAAAGTGATTGGATTTTAAAGTATTTGACAATTTTTTTAAGACTGTGCATCTTCTAAAGTTATATTATGTTTTAGGCGAGATGTGACAGTACACACCTCTAATTCCAGCACTCAGATAGTAGAGGCAGGTGGATCTCTGAGTTGGGAGGCCAGCCTGGCTTATTTTGTGATAGTAATATTCACATGACATATTGTGGACAAGCACAAAAGGAAAGGTTATATGTGAACAGTGATGTTTCTGTGTCAAGGTGACAAGGGGTCAATCATGCTGTCTAGTTTGTCAATATGACACAATCTAGAGTTAAAGAGGGACTCTCAGCTCAAGAAATGCCCCATTAGAATAGTCTGTAAGCAAACCTCTGGGGGGCATTTTCTTGATTGATAATTGACATGGAAGGGCCCAGTCCACTGTAGGTAGTGTTACCAAGGCAGACAGTCATGGGGTATAGAAGAGAGCAAACTGAGCAAGCTAAGAAAAGCAAGTTTCTGCCTCAGTTCCTGCCTAAACTCTACCACGGTTTCCCTCAATAGATTGTATTTTATTACAAGGGTCATTAACGCCTCATGGGTTGCTAGCTTTTGGCAACATCTTAACTGTTTCCTAAAGCCTTCTATGTAGCTGATGGGCTTTTTCCTCTTTATAAGAATTTAGGGTCATTTGTGGTGGTACAAGCCTTTAAGCCCAGCACTCAGGAACCAGAGACAAGTGCGAAGTTTGGGACTAGCTTGGTCTACATAGCGAGTTCCAGGACAGTCAGGGCAACAAAGAAAAGCTCTGTCTCTAAAATAAAAAATTTAAAAAAAAAAGAAAAGAAAAGACTTTAAACTTATCTACTATTTTTAAACCTAATTCCTAACTTCCATACCAGAATTCCCTCTACTACTGGCTCTATCACCCACCAAAATCCTACTGATGATTATTTCCACATACTCTGAAGACATTTAAACAAAACATCTAATTCCACTTAGAGTCACTTGTGCTGGTTAGTTTTATGTCAACTAGACACAAGCTAGAGTCATCGAAGAGAAGGAACCTCAACTGAGAAAATGCCTATGTTGACTGGGCTGTAAACAAACATGTAGGACATCTTCTTAGAGACTGACGTGATAGTCCCACCCTAGACTGGTGGTCTTGGGTACTGTAAGAAAGCAGGCTAAGCAAAGCAGTAAGCAGCAGCCCTCCATGACCTCTGCATAAGCTCCTCCTCCAGGTCCCTGACCATTTTGAGTTCCTAACTTGGCTTCCCTCCATATGTACAAGCCATATAAACCCTCCCTGCCTCCAAGTTGCTTTTTGTCATAATGTTTTAACACAACAAAAGAAACCCTAAGACAACACTTATTTTCTAGAATAGATAGTAAGCTGAGCCAGAGACAACCCAAAAGGAATTCTTACCATTTCACTTCATACTCAGCTTCCTTTTTTGCTGGTAGTCGCAGAGTGGTTTCTTCAAGCCTATTATGCTGTGGTACTTCTTACACTGTTCCCTTTGCTTCTAGGAAATTAACTACAGATCTAACTATTTCACTTCTCATTTCAAGGAGGTGTCAAATACTTGATTAGCTATCACAGTTTAGTTACAGGGATGAGGGCTGTGTTCTGCTCAGGTAAATGGAAACAGAAGGAGACAAACTGGAAAGGCCTCAAAATTACCAAGATGGGAAATGAGACACTTTAAGTATAACATTTAATTTTTGGAGACCTGGATGATTGACAGGTAAATTAAGATTATATAAAAACCCAAGGTCCGAGTGTTCTGCTCATCACTCAACTACCCGGCCACTGCCACATCTATGCTGTGATCATACTTACTTATTCTGAGCGGCATAGATACTGGCCAGCTTCAGAGAGATCTCAATTATTGCATTGTCTTCCTGTTGGGATTAAAAAAAAAAAAAGGCAATTCATGAAAAGTAAAAATTTCTTATGGAGTATTTCCAACTTCTCTACTGAATTTGACTTTAAAGATAATCTTTCTTCCTTTAAAAGAATTAACCAACTATGAATTCTTTGGCAACCATCATTTGGAATCAGTGAAATATTAGTCATTTTTTACAGGTCTAGGGGTGAAATAACCATCATTTTGTGCTAGGTCTGGGACTACAGAACATACCTGGTTGGTTTTTAGGTATCTAGACACAAACTACAGTTATCTGAGAATAACTCAATTGAGAACAATGCCTCCAGCAGACTGTCTGAAAGCAAGTCTGCGGAGATTTTATTGATTAATGACTGATGTGGAAGTGTCCAGCCCGCTGTGGGACTGGGTGGTCTAAGAAAGCAGCTGAGTGAGCCACGGGAAGCCAGTAAGAATGATTTCTCCATGTCCTCTGCTTCAGCTCCCATTTCCAAGTCCCAAAGTTCCGGCCCTGACTTCCCTCAGCAATGAACTTTTACCAGAAAGCTTAAGATGAAATAAACCCTTTCTTTCCCAAGTTACTTTTTGGTCATGATGTTTTCATCACAGCAACAGAAACCCTAAGACAGGGAGCTCTCATTCTGTTAGCTGCGTCAATGAGGAGGCAATATTAGGCAGTGTCCTTACCTGCTTCATGCCTCCTCCAAGCAGGTAACTCATTGTCGCTTTAAAAAGTTGTTCTGCCTAATAAAAGCATAAAGATTTTTTTTTAAACCATCTACATGTGACTCTTGATTCCAAATACCAATCTTAGGCGCATGCGTGAATACATCCATACATATGCGCGCACACACGCACACACGAATATGTAGAGCGCTGAGACTCTTATAAAGGGACCAAAGGATCAGGGACTCCTCTCTAATCTGTATCTTAAAGTACCCTGCGAGGAATGGAAGCTAACTTGAAGAGATTAATCACCTGAATTGGTGTGACAGATAGCAAATTGTCCTGTAATATTCACCCTATGAATTAAGTTTTCAAAATAGCCTTGATTTTTGAATCAGGCTTTCTTAGGTGTGATCATACCACAAATTTAAGTTCTAACTAACGGTAACAGGCAGAGAATGTCAACACCTTTAAGATATTTCATAAGAATGTTACTTGCACCAAATTCTCTCCTTTCCCCTTCTTGCAGGCTGCATGAGTCAGCTCACTCATGGCAGATGAAGACATACTTCAAAACAAACCCGAGATTTTTGAACCACACAGGGATGCCTAATCTGCTTGTGATTTTTTACCTACTTGTGGGCTAATCAATTAAAAAGAAACACTTGCATCTTGAGTCACTGTATTTTAGGGACCTTTTTGAATAACATAACTCCTCACTGTTACAGTTCCCTTGAGGGGTTACCACTTCAAGATATCACAAAGTGACTGACTTACATTTTCAAGTTGCCCTCGTATAAATGCCAAGTTGGCCATCTGAAAGCAAATTATAAAGAGCTGTTCAATTTAGAGCACTGCAATTTACACCGACTTAAAAACCTTTAAGTGAGACTCTTTCCTGCTTTAACAATCTTTTAAAAAAAAGTTCAAAACAGAGAAAATGTCACCAGTTAATCTGCTAGCAGCTCAGTCAGCAATAGTGAGAGAAGCCCAGAGTTTATTATAGACATTCTGTTGAAAGCAAATTAAACAGATCTGTTCATCACTGAAGAGAAGAACACTAAGATATCTGTTTCTTTCTGGTCTAAAATTATAAGTGACCCCATAAAGGATACAAAAATTAAAACCAAAAGAAAACGTAGAAAACAAAAACCTTCGGGACATCTTGAGAGTCAGGAAGATAAAATAGGAGGAGCACTTTCTCAGCATCCACCCTTCCTCATCAATAGCTCAAACTGGTCAGAGGAGTTACCAAGTCGTAAGTGTAAGAGATGGCTTTCTTGTTATCACTCTGATACGCAAGGCGAAGAGCATCATGCAAAATTAGTTCCGCCGCTTCTGGCTCATCTTTCATGATGTTCAACTAAAAAGAGAAGACAAAGGAAACATTAAATGAAATGTAAGGAAAGCAGATGTGTATGCTGCTACAGATTAGCTACAACACAATACACAGAAGAAAGTCATTCATTCTTCATGTAGTTATTGAACCCCCACTATGTCCAGGTACCATGCTGACAGAGATGACAGGGAGAACAGCCTCCTTGCACCTAGGTATGCTTATACAACAAGGCTTGACTAGCAGACCAGACAGAAGGAATGTGAGCAATCTTTATTTTTTCCCCCCTGAGACAGAGACGCCCACAGAGACCTCGCTGCCTCTGCCTCCTGAGTGCTGTGGTTAAAGGTGTGCAGCACCTCACCGGACACTGTATTTACTTTATAAGGAAGCTACTTGCCTTTCACCTTCTTTTTCTCTTCCTGTAGATTATAAGGGACCATGTAGGACAAGTAGGCTTAATTAAAACTCATGAGGAGAGCAAGAAAGAAAAACACCGCAAAGGAATGACCGGGGACCTCATCTAATGGGAATCAAGGAAGTGTTCAAGAAAATGAGAGTAAAGATGGGGTAAGGAGGAGTCAACCAGACAACAAAATGGACAAAAGAATGGCCCCAACAGAGCTAATGAGTGAAGCTCCTACAGACGGAGAAGAATGGTTCCTGGGAAAAAATGCAAGGAAGGACAGGCAGAGAGAGGACAGTGAGTCAGAGTCACTGCCACTTCGGTCACTTCCAGTCCTGCAGCCCATGACAAGCTTGTGTTTCCTCAGATACAGGGAGAAGTCGCTCGGTGATCAGGCAAGAAGGCACTATGCTCTGGCTTACATTCTCAAAACATCGCTTG